GAGAGTTTTATTGTTGTAGCAAAGTCTACCTACTATTTAGTAGGTAATTCATAGACTTCAGAACATCGGTAATCTCTCCCTCGTCCGTCCGCCTCTCCCCTTAATCCGCCATTCTTTCTTTCTTCTCTGCTTATAAGTATATTGTGTCCTTCTCTGTTGTTTCGAAAATCATGCACTTCCTTTTTCCACTGCAAGGTTGGTTTGGAGTTGAAATATCCTGATTATCTTGAAGTGTCGTTTGTCTTTTACACCATTAGTTTCTTCATTTTCTCAGTTTCGTTTCTCCAAAACTTGTAATCATTCTATTCCGTTCTTTTTTTCTTGCACTATGTGTTTGGAATATGTGCTTTTAATTACAGATGCTGATCGGTAGGGGGGCTGGAAGGGAATGTCTGGTGGTACAACTTAAAGTGCGATTGTTTGGCAGCAGCTTTTAATTCCGAGTATTTGTTTCATTTGTTTTATTTCTGTTTGTACTATGCTTCTTGTTGCAACCGTAATGCATGTCTGCTTATTTCAAAGAGACATCTTGCCGATCATCGTCACATAAGGTTGAGTGGTGCACCACTATGACAGTGAAGCCATTTTCAGCTGGACTTGATCGGTGTAGATGTTTCTTTGGGATTTGCAGATTGTATTGCGTTGTCACGATTTTGTTTATACTGCTGACTTCCCCCCCATGCTAGGCTGGGGAAGCGGTAGTATAATTTTTTTATCGTTAGCCCGACACAAAATGTTTGTTTGTTCAAATTCAAGCCATGAGACATATTCATCAATTATTTTGATGAATATGCTTACGTCTTGTCTCGTGTACACTAGATGGTATACACAAGAAGAAATACACTGATCGTTTGGTTGGTCGGTCATTGTATTTCACTAATGATTCTGAGAGTCCGAAGTCAAGCAAATATATGTAGATGAATAACTTTTAACAGAAAGATATCGCGTGGCCCTCGCGTTTAGCTACATGAAGGACAAACTAGTTTGGCATATAAATCATGATTAGCAGCCTTCAACGAAAATTTTCTTCTTTTATTTAACATTTTTTATAGGCTATTAAAAAATTTTCGTGAAAAAAAAAAACATGGTCTAGTCGATTGCGCAACCCAAAAAAATCCTAACCTTAGCTCAACTAGAATGACTGCAATCGCCACTACAGTTGACAAGATTCCTTCCCATGCTTACATAAAACATCTTAAAACCCGCAGCCTGAATTACAAGAAAAGTTGGGAGGTGTTAAAACCAGGGTACACATTCAACGCGACTCCAGGCTAAATTTTGGGCGGCATGTTTGCGGGAACTGCTGATTGGTTGACGAGTAGCGAATAAATAGTTGAGAATGGGCGAGCATGGGGCTTTTCGTCCGTGAGAGATGAGGCTTGGCAGGGGAGAAATTGATAACACTTGGATCTAGAAATTGGGGATCAAGGGGAGGGCAACTGGGTTGGCGGAAAGGGGAAAGGGGGTGAGACGATATTGTGGGGGAAGGGGAAACAATTTCGGTGGGAGCGGAATAGGTATGGGGAGGGGGGAAACGAATTTGCGGAAGCACATTCGATGACTTCGGTATACATTTGCCAAATCTCGAGGGTTCAAATGTTCACCTGCTGAAGCGAACACTCCCCCCAGATATTCCTAAATCACTGAGTAACCCCGAGGTCAAAGGTTAACCTTTGACAGAAATCCAATTGAATGTGCACCCTGGTTTTAACACTTTCCCTCCCGAACCAGTGTGGTTACCAGGTTTTCACCTGCAAAACGTGAAAGAAGTCGCAGGCAGCGCAGGGAAGGGTCGCTCGGTTCCTGGGCTGAGGTGTGCACACCAAACTGGAAATATGTAATTCAGGTCGTTCGAAACTGCCTAGTCTGAGCAGCTAGAGCGACAGCCATAGCATAGAACATCTAGCATTCTACCCCATTCCAGCGCATGGCGGAAAATTCCTCCTTAGGACGTTAGGACCATGCCTTCATTCTTCCAATCCGTCTCTAAAGCGCCCCGCGGTTCTAGGTCACGTTTCCACTCGACATAGCTAGCCGGGGCCATGGTTGCACATATGCCCGTCGTCGCCCTGGTTTCACTTCCACACCGCCCACCGCACCAATGTCGCCTATCTTCATAGCCGCGACGTCCTCTCTATCCGCCGCGTAGGTTTCATCCACCTGCTTCGCCGCATCGCTTCTTCTCCCCGACGTCCACACTCGGACCCCTTCCGGAACACACACGCGATCCCCTCCATCCCTCACGCTTCTTCCCTCGAACGAGCACGCTCCCTTCCCTCCCATCTCCTTCACGCAAAACCCTCTGTTGCGCACGCGAACATCCCTCCGTCGCGGATGATAACGCCTTCCCGTCGCACACAGGCACTCCCCTCGAACGGTCACGCACACTCCCTTTCGTCGCCGGCGCGCACTCCCTTCCGTCGCCCACGCTCAAGCCCTTCCCGTCGCCCACGCTCACTCCCTTCCCATCGCGATCGCGGGGGGAAATCGTACCGTCGCCCACGATCATTCACTTCCGTCGCCCACGCTCACCCCCATTCCATCGCCTTCGCGCAATCCTTCGGTCGCACACGCTCACCCCCGCTCGTCGCCACGGCCTATTCCTTCCCGCATCTCCGCCTCACCCCGTCTCCTCCTCACCCCAGCTCCGTCCGCGCGCACTCCCTCCCGTTGCGCGCGACAACTCCCCTTCCGCCGCCCACGCTCTCTCCCTCCCGCCACGTTCTCTCGCTTCCCTCCTGTCGCGACAGTCCCCTCCGTCGCCCACGCTCACTCCTCCCCACCACGCACGCTCTCCCCCCATCCATCGCCCACGCTCACTGCCCGTACTCCGCACACGCTCACTTCCCTCCGTCGCCCAGGCTCACCCCCTGCCCCTCGCCTTCTCTCATTCCCCTCCGTCGCCTATGCTCCATCCCCATCCCTTCCCTCCCCATCCCTCATCTCCCCATCCCTTCCCTCCCTATCCCTCATCTCCCCATCCCTTCCCTCCCCATCCCTCATCTCCCCATCCCGTCCCTCCCCATCCCTCACCTCCCCATCCCCGCCTCCCCATCCCTTCCCTCTCCATCCCTTCCCTCCCCATCCCTCACCTCCCAGTCTCTCAACTTACCGTCCCTCTTCTCCCCATCCCTCTTCTCCCCATCCCTCTTCTCCCCATCCCTTCCCTCTCCATCCCTCACCTCACCATTCCGTTTCAACCCATTCCGCCCCACCCCATTCCGCCCCACCCCATTCCGCCCCACCCCATTCCGCCCCACCCCATTCCGCCCCATCCCATTCCGCCTCACCCCATTCCGCCCCACCCCAATCCGCCCCACCCCAATCCGCCCCACCCCATTCCGCCCCACCCCATTCCGCCCCACCCCCATCTCCTCCTCACCCCATCTCCTCCTCACCCCTCATCCGTTGTGCTTTTCGGCACTAAGAAGCTTTTTGGGGAGGGGAGATGCGGTTCCGCCCCACCCCACTCCGCTCTCCCCCATCTCCGCCCCACCCCACTACGCTCTCCCCCATCTCCGCCCCACCCCGCTACGCTCTCCCCCATCTCCGCCCCACCCCACTACGCTCTCCCCCATCTCCGCCCCACCCCACTCCGCTCTCCCCCATCTTCGCCCCACCCCACTCCGCCCTGGCCCACTCCGCCCCACCCCATCTCAAGGTCACCCCATTCCGCCCCACCCTTCAAAATCACCCCATTCCGCCCCACCCATCTCTGCCCCACCCATCTCCACCCCAACCCATCTCTGCCTCTCGTTTGTCTCCTACCATAATAATAATCCGTGAGTGTCTCTTTATTTCTTCCTCTTCGCAGGTGCCGGTTTGTCAGTGTCAGTGCCCACCCTTTTGTATGCGTTCTGCTTCAGCCACGAGCATCTGATTTTCACAACTGGGTTTGTACAGCCCCCCCCCCCCCCCCCCCTTATGCATTTGGTTCAGGAATGTTGGTTGTTGGTAGTACTACTACTAGGTATGACAAATAGACATGCCAATGTTGGATATTTAGTATTATATACTAAATTTTGATCCACAGAGGTATGAGACTGTAGACCACTTACAATGTGCATCAATCTAGTAAAAAAGAACAAGCTAGTCCATGTGATGTCTTGTCCAACTCTTGTCTGCACATACAGCAGCAAAAAACCAGGACTTGTGGTTCCCTCCCAACAGCTGGTGCTGGGCACCGACACACTGCATGGGTAAAGGGTTGAATAGGGGAGTGAGCAGGAAAGAACAGAATGAGCAGGGAAAAACAGAGTGCAGGGGAGACAGTGAGCAGAGGTAAAATAATTGAGCAGGGGGAAAGAGAGAGAACATGTTGAAAGGGAGTGAGCAGGTGGGAAGATAGTGAGCAGGGAGAAACATAGTGAGCAAGGGGAAGAGAGCGAGCAGGGGAAAACAGAACGAGCAGCAAGGGGAAGAGAATGAGCAGTGGAGGAAGAGAGTGAGCAGGGGGGAATAGAAAAAACAGGGGGGAAGAGAGGAAACAGAGCGAGCAAGGGGGAAACAGAGTGAGGAGCGGGAAGGGAGCGAGCAGGGAGAAACATAGTGAGAGCAGCCCTGTCCGTGCTGCACTCGCCGAACAGCGCCACCACGCTGGCCGCTGCCTAGCGTGCGCTGATGGCATGCGCCTTGCGCACGTCGAGGGTGTGAGAGAGGCGAGGAGTGTGAGAGAGGCGAGGAGTGTGAGAGAGGCGGGGAGTGTGAGAGAGGCGAGGAGGAGTGTGAGAGAGGCGAGGAGTGTGAGAGAGGCGGGGAGTGTGAGAGAGGCGAGGAGTGTGAGAGTGGCGAGGAGTGTGAGAGAGGCGAGGAGTGTGAGAGAGGCGAGGAGTGTGAGAGAGGCGAGGAGTGGCGGAGGAGGATTGGGTTAGAAGGGGAGGAATTGCAGGGAAGGCGTGAGAAAAAATACCATGGAAGTTCAAAGGTAGGGAAAGGGAAATGAAGTTGTTCGAGGGGAAAAGAGGCGATGAGGGTTGAGAGTGGGAATGGAAAGCAGGGGCTTATGAGGAAGGGTGCGTGGGGAGGCGTGGCGAGTGTGAGAGGGCGGGCGGACGTCGTGATGAGGCCCGCAGGCGAGCGCGGAGTGAGCAAGGGGATGAGGGTGGGCATGGGGAAAGGGAGTGAACAGGGGGGAACACCACGAACTGGGGGGAAGAGGGTGAGCAGGGGGAAACAGAATGAGCAAGGGGGAAACAGAATGAGCAAGGGGGAAACAGAATGAGCAAGGGGGAAGAGAGTGATCAGGGGGGGGGGAGGGAGTGAACAGGGGGGAACAGAGTGAAGGGAGGAAGGGGAGTAATTGTTTCGCATGAGTGTACGTGGGTGAGAGTGAAGCTTTGGGTGGGGAAAAAAAGAGGTGGTAAACCAGGGCACTGGGAAGGGTAGAGAAGGCGGCGGGGCGGGAAACCAGGGCGTCGGCGCGAGGGAGGGGAATGGGCATGGGCGACGGAGGAAGGAAGCGAGGGCGAAGAAGAGGGGACGCTCGACGAAGACGTCAGCGGCGGGAATGAGAACAATGTTGACGCAGCGACAGGTGGGAGAGGAGAGGTCGACTCGGCGAGCGATGGGGAGGGAAAACGAGGGCGACGGGAGGGGGAAAGCGAGGGCGACGGGAGGGGGAAAGCGAGGCCGACGGAAGGGGGAAAGCGAGGTCGACGGGAGGGGGAAAGCGAGGTGGACGGGAGGGGGAAAGCGAGGTCGACGGGAGGGGGAAAGCGAGGTCGACGGGAGGGGGAGGCGGCGATGGCGACCCGCGAGGCGAGGGTGGTAGGCGGGGAAGATGCGGTACGCGACGGGCGGGGGAAGCGAGGGCGGCGGGTATGGGAAGCGAGGGCAACGGGAGGGGAGAAGCGAGGGCGGGCGGAGGAAGCAAAGGCGACGGGCAGGGAGGAGGCGAGGCGACGGGCGGGGAGGAGGTGGTGCGCGGGAAGAGCGAGGGCGACGGGCGGGGGAAGCGAGGTGGGCAAATCGCTAATATCTCCCGTGCCATCTCGTTTCTACGTGCGTCACACTCGCAGCCAGCGCCTACGATTCACTTCGATTGCATGACCGCGCTTCATCTTCTATTCGATCGTCCCTAAATTGTGTTCACTTGATATGCCTGGCTGGTGAGCGCGATGCTTGGATCCTAAAAAGCTTGTCTGAGTTGTTCGCTTGTTCTGTCGCACAAGTTTTTACCCTGCTCTAGCTCTCTGGGGTTGTAAGCAGAATGTATGCGAACTGTTGGGTTGCGTTGGCTGATAACGCCTCGTTGACTCACGGGAGAGTCGCATCATGTTTCGCTAACTTTTTTGCTTTCGCAATTCTGCCGCACCTCATATTGCCCGAACCCCAAACCTACCAAACCAAGCGTTGACTCAGTTTTTGTAATTCAGGCTTCGGGTTTTAACGACCCCCACGAAACCCACCATAACCCGGGCCTGCTTTTTGAGACGGTTTCCGTTCTTTCTTGCCCATGTCACCAGCACCTGCACCTGCACTGCCAGCAGCAGAGCCAGCAGCACCACCGGCACCTCTAGCAGCGGCACCAACAGCAGCACCAGATGACACATGTTTAGAACTAGTGGTAGACGCGGCTGTGGGCCTGGCGAAAGAACCTCCCCCAGAGCCACCAGATGAACCTCCCCTGGATCCACCTGCAGAAGATGACTGTCCTCTTCCTCCCCCTCCACTACTGCCACTGCCACCGCCAGCAGCAGCAGCACCATCACCACGGCTCCCAGAACCTTCCTGACCACCCCACCCTCTTCCACTTCCCCCTCCCCTCCCCCCTCCCCTCCCAGCTCTCCCTCCCCTTCCCCCTCCTCCCCGCCCTCCCCCACCTCCTCCTCTTCCTCCTCTCCCTCCTCTCCAACCTCTCCCCCCACCTCCTGGCCCAATTCCTCCCCTTCCTCCTCCCCACCCTCCACCACTCGCCCCTAACCCCCCTCCGCCTGACCCACCCTCCCCCTCTTCCTCCTCCTCCTCCTCCTCCTCCACCTCTTCCTCTTCCTCCTCCTCTGCTCCCCCCCATGCTGCACGGTTACCACCTTCCCCCAGCCCATGAATCAGCCCCGCCTCGATTCGCTTCATCTCAGCCGCTTGTGCCGCCGATCCGACGGCCACGGAGCCCTTAACCTTGTAGCTGTAGTTCTTGCCGTCTTTCACATAGAACTGGGGTCCTTGGGCCTGGGCCTGCGCTTGGGCTTGCTGTGACTGTGACTGTGACTGCGCTTGTGCTTGCACCAACCCCTGCTGCTGCACCTGCTGCCCCTTCAAACCAGCACCAACAGCACCACCAGCAGCAGCGCGTGCAGCAAACCTCGTCCCCACCTCCTCAACCTCACTGCTCCCCGCACCTCCTGCCACGTCATACCCTTCCAGCTCATCAAATGAGTCGTCATACTCATCGTCGTACTCAAACTGCGACTCAAACACAAACCGCTTCACTGCCTCCTGCTCCCTCCTGCTCCCCGTGCCTGCTGCCGAACCTCGCTTCCAAACCTCCTCTTCCACCGACTCATCCTCCCTCTTGCTCCGGACGAACCTACCAGCAGGAGCAGCAGCAGAGGCAGCGGCTGTAGCAGCGGCTGTAGCAGGGGCTGTAGTGGGTGTGGTGGTAGTTTTTGCAATGCCTGCCCACGAGCTCCCACCCTCCCCAACCGCACTGGACCCTTCTCCTCTCAGCTGCCTCTCCACCTCTCTCTGCTGGTCCACAACCCCTCCCCACCCCCTTGCACCCCCTTCCTCATCCTCCTCGTCCTCCTCTCCTCCCTCTGCAACCACTGCCTTGCCCTTTCCTTTACCTGCTGCCCCACTTGCAGCACCACCACCAGCTGCACTAACAGCACCAGCAGCACCAACAGCACCAGAAGCAGCAGCAGCATCCCCCTTACCACCCGCACCAGCCTTCCCTGGCTTCACCTTCAGCTGAGTGTCTAACTTAGCTAAGTCCGGGTGTAAACTCCCCTCCAGTACATGCTGAATCACCGCCTCTGCATCCCCCCCATACGCCTCCAAACACGCACCCACAAAGCCCTCCCCGAAATCCGGGAAAATATCTCGCACGAGCGAGATCTTGGATTGCTCGAGGGCTGCTGACTCAGCATCAGCGGAGGCAGAGAGGGAGGGAGTGAGGGAGGGGAAGTCTTCTGCTGAAGGGGGGTGGTTGGCTGCTGTGGTGTTGCTGGTAGTGGATGGGTCAGAGGAGGAGGAGGAAGTGAGGGGTGTTGGCAGGGTGATAGGAGGGCCTATTATGTCCGAGATCGTATCGAACTGCGTGTTATCCAGGGGAAGCTTGCCTGCAGGAAAGACGGAAGAAAACAAAACGAAAACAGAAGTGAGGGGTGGTGGCAGGGTGATTGGAGGGCCGATTATGTCGGAGATCGTATCGAACTGTGTGTTGTCGAGGGGAAGCTTGCCTGGGGAAACAACGCGAGCAATAAAAGGAAAAACAGTGGGGAGAGAAGTGAGGGGTGGTGGCAGGGTGATTGGAGGGCCTATTATGTCCGAGATCGTATCGAACTGCGTGTTGTCGAGGGGAAGCTTGCCTGGGGAATGGGAAGGAGGGCATATCACAGAAGAAAGGGAGAGAGAAAACACTGGATGAGTGCTATTTTGGCGGAACGGGCACTGACTGAAAAAGTACAACCACACGTCAAGCTGAACACACACAGCCACACAAGCAGCTCTATGAAACACTAGGTAAGACAAGAACCTTATAAGGGATAGGTAGTAGATATATAGCCCAACACAGAACCACACCATTCAGGACAATAACCTTTTGATACACACCTAACGAGGCGAAAACCGGCCTCCTATTGCTCAGTTTTTTTCCTCACCCACCTTTCATTTTCTCTTCATAGATTGCTGACCGAAGACCAAAAGAAGCATCAACTGCCCGAAGCAGAGGGATCCACGCCACGCCATCCACATCTTTGCTGCCCGTGCTGCCCGAGCTCACTCCATGCACCGCAAGAATCTCTTCGAGCAGCACCTGCCCGAAATTCATTTTCTGGTCAAGCAGCCCGTCCCACAACGGGCACCCAGATTGTTTTCCCCTGCCCGGCTTGACTCCACAATCACACACAGGGCAGGGTGGCAAACCATCACTGCTGCTACCACTGTTGCTGCCTCTATTTCTGCTACCCCTGCTCCTGCTAGTCCTACCACCACCACCAGTATTATCACCACCAGTACCACCACCACCAGCAACAGCAGCAGCAGCAGCAGCAGCAGCAGCAGCAGCACGAGCACACCCCCTTCCTCCAAGATACGCGCCCCAGAGATACTTCCACGCAACTTCCTCCAGCTTCGTTTGAAGAATCTTCCCCTGAACATTCACCGTTGCTGCTGCTTGCATCGGTGTTCGCTTTGCTGATAACAAGGAGGTGGAGGAGGCGAGGAGGAGGAGCAGAGGGAGAAAGGAGTCGCGAATTTGAGCCGCCACAGAGAGAAGCCGCACAGGAGAACTTGCTGCTGCTGCTGCTGCTGCTGCTGCTGCTGCTGTGCCTTGTTTCGATTTCCTTGTAGGTGCTGTTCTCGTTGTTGTTGCTGTGGTTGCTTGCAGGAGGAGTAGCGGGGCAGGCGGGTAGGCATCAAACAGCGCGTCGAGAGAGAAGGCGAAGTCACAGAGGTATTGGAGGGCTTCAATAATCTCAGAGGCAGAAGCTGGCTGTGGGGAGAGCAATGGGGAGACGAGAAGGAGGAAAAGAGGGTCAAAGATTGAGTTGAGAGAGAGAAGGCAAAGTCACAGAGGTAGTGAAGGGCCTCTTGAGGCGCCTCAAAATTTTTTGAGGCGCCTCAAAAATCGAGAGAAGGCAAAGTCACAGAGGTAGTGAAGGGCCTCTTGAGGCGCCTCAAAAAATTTTGAGGCGCCTCAAAAATCGAGAGAAGGCAAAGTCACAGAGGTAGTGAAGGGCCTCTTGAGGCGCCTCAAAATTTTTTGAGGCGCCTCAAAAATCGAGAGAAGGCAAAGTCAGAGAGGTAGTGAAGAGCCTCGGTGATCTCTGAGGAAGGAGGTGGCGATGATGCCTTGCTGTGCTGCAGAAGTGGGTGGGGGAGGGCAACAGGGAGACGAGAGGGTGGAAAAAGAGGGTAAGCGTCAAAGAGCGCGTCGAGTCGAGGGAGAGAAGGCAAAGCTATATTGGTGCGACTCTTGAGAATTCTCAAAAGTCGCAGCAAAGTCAGAGAGGTAGTGAAGGGCATCGATGATCTCTGAGGCAGAAGCTTGTTGTGAGTCTGCTGCTTCTGATGATGATGAGGAGGAGGCATGTGCTGGTGATGATGCCTTGCTGTGCTGCACGCGTGCATGGGGTGGAGAAGAGCAACGGAAAGATGGGAGAAAACAAGAAGATGGGAGAAAACAAGATGGGAGAAAACAAGAAGATGGGAGAAAACAAGAAGATGGGAGAAAACAAGAAGATGGGAGAAAACAAGAAGATGGGAGAAAACAAGAAGATGGGAGAAAACAAGATGGGAGAAAACAAGAAGATGGGAGAAAACAAGAAGATGGGAGAAAACAAGAAGATGGGAGAAAACAAGAAGATGGGAGAAAACAAGAAGATGGGAGAAAACAAGAAGATGGGAGAAAACAAGAAGATGAAGGGATGTCTGCATCTAACTCTGTTGCCTAAAGATAAAAACAACTAAACAACGAAACTTCCTCTCACGGACAAAGTAACACTATGTGATCTGTACCTCCTCCATTCGCCCACATGCCCTCGCCACCATCTCCTCAACCACCCGCAGCAGCAGCTGCTGTAACGGACCAACAAACAACAACACCTTCCTCCCTTCCTCCCCCCCACCCCCACTCCCATCCTCTCAATACATACCTCCTCCATTCCCCCGCACGCCCTCGCCACCATTTCCTCAACCACCCGCAGCAGCTGCAGCAGCAGCTGTGCCTACGAAATCAGAAACTCCCCCCATTTCCATTCGATGCACTACTTACCTCCTCCATTCGCCCACATGCCCTCGCCACCATCTCCTCAACCACCCGCAGCAGCTGCAGCAGTGACGCCAGCCAAAGACCTTCCCCTACCCTATCCAATCCGTACTCCTCCATCCACTTACCCCCTCCATCCACTTACCCCCTCCATCCACTTACCTCTTCCATCCACTTACCTCCTCCATCCGCCCACACGCCCTTGTCACCATCTCTTCAACCACCCGCAGCAGTTGAAGTAGAGAAGACGAGAGATCAGCTCGGAAGAGAGGCTGAGAGACCAGCACCCGGCACACCTGGTGGTGGGGAGAGGTGCAATGCGGTGACAAGAGGTGCAGAGCAGCACGGGATGCATTCAATCTGTCTGTACCCACACGATCCGCCTCCACCAGCAGGAGCAGCAGAAGAAGTGGTGCAATACGGTGATGCAGGGAAACCAAGGAAGCAGGTGCAGTGCAGTGCAGTGCAGTGCAGTGAGGTGGGGTGCTAAAGTAGGTGGTGCAATGGGGTGAGTGATCAAGTAAGGGGCGCTGCGGTGATGGGGGGCAATTAAGTGAGCGGTGCAGTGCAGCGAAGACGGGTAACCAAGAGGTGAAATGCGGTGAAGCGGGGCAGAACAGTGTGCGGAGGTAGATAGACTAACCAGCTGCCGTGTTGCAGCGGGGTTTGCCCTCGCAAAGACAGCAGCCACGTCCATGAGCTTGGGCGCATCGAAGAGGCGCATGGAGAGGAGGAGGTCTGCGAGCGACAGGTAGAGAAGCGGGGAGAGAGGTCAGAAGAGGAAATTTGGCCCTCGCAAAGTCAGCAGCCACGTCCATGAGCTTGGGCGCATCAAAGAGGCGCATGGAGAGGAGGAGGTCTGAGGGAAGGGAAGAGAGGGTTGAGGTGGTAGGGGAGAGAGAGATGTAGAAGAGGGGAGAGAGGGTAAGAGAGGCAGGTGGCCTTCCCAAAGACAGCAGCAGCCACGTCCATGAGCTTGGGTGCATCAAAGAGGCGCATGGAGAGAAGGAGGTCTGGGTAGGACGGAGAGGGTGGAGTGGAGGTGGAAGGGGGAAGTGCAGGGGAAGAAGGAGGGCAGATGGAAAAGAGACAGAGTTTGTCATTCTAAAGACAGCAGCCACGTCCATGAGCTTGGGCGCATCGAACAGACGCATGGAGAGAAGGAGGTCTGGGTAGGACGGAGAGGGTGGAGTGGATGGAGGGCGTGTGGGGGAACAAGAAGGGAGATGGAAAAGAGAAGGAGGTTTGCGCCTAGTTTTGAGTCGACTCAAAGCATGGAGAGGAGGAGGTTTGCACGAGAACGAGGAGCGTGGAGGTGGAAGGGAGAGTTGTTGTGAGGAAGTAGGGAGAAGTTCTATAGGTCATTCGTAAACTCTTAGTAGGCTTGCCGCTTGCTGCGGATCAAAACCAACTAATTTCAATCGTAAGGAGGTAGGGAGAAGTGGGGGGGAGAGGGGATGGAGAAAGAGGAGAGAGGCACTTGGCCTTTCCAAAGGCAGCAGCCACGTGCATGAGCTTGGTTGCGTCAAATATGCGCATGAGCAAGTGGCCAATGAAAGTCATGGAATCAACACGTGGCGGTTGAAAAAACATGAGGGTTGAATCGCATGGTGTAGGAAAGGCATGGCTGGGAGCGGCATACATACGTGCATGGTCCTTGGCCTGAGGTGACTTTTGAGTCGACTCTAAAGGCATGGCTGAGAGCGGCATACATACGTGCATGGTCCTTGGCCTGAGGTGACTTTTGAGTCGACTCTAAAGGCATGGCTGGGAGCGGCATACATACGTGCATGATCCTTGGCTTGAAGCTGCTCTGATGGTTTCGCTCTGGACTCGATATTAGATGACCTGTTAGTAGCATGTACAGGAGAAGGAACCAGATAAAAAAATAGCTGGAAAATGGGAGCGAGAAAAAAAAGGTTCCCATTTCGCTCCCATTTCTTGTGAAAGTGCAGGAAATGAAAGATTCGCACAAGAGTAGACATGGAATTGCCCTTGTTGAAATGCTTACGCATAGCAATTTCATGCTTGTGACATGCCAGCGCACCACAATACATGCTGATGCACACGGCAACACACAAGCATACACATGAATTGCCATGTTCATGCCCACGCACCACAATACATGCTGACACACACGGCAGCTGACACTCACATGCGCAGCAGCAGCAGGAACACCAGCCGACACAACTCCTCATCCCCCACCACCACTCCCCTCCCTGTCCCCTCACTCCCCTCTCCTCCCCCTCCTCCCCCGTTCACTCCGTCTGCTCCTGCTGTTCCCAAAAATCCGCCAGTTTCAGCAGCAGCGGCGGCGGAGAGAAGATGGTCAAACCAACGGGACCGGAAGCGGAGGTACGAGTCGAGGAAGGCCACAAGTGAGGGCGAGCGGGCAACTGGGGTAAACAGGGGGAGGGGGGAAAGGGGAAATTCAAGAAGAAAGAAGTGGGTGAGAATTGAGCAGCAGCAGCAGCCGAGAGGAGGAGGTCAAACCATCGGGAGCGACTTCTGAGAAGGTGGGAATCCAAGAAGGCCCTGAGAGAGGGCGAGCGAGCAACTGGGGCAAACAGGGGGAGGGGAGGGGTTAGCAGCAGCAGCGGAGAGGAGGAGGTCACACCATCGGGAGCGAGTTCTGAGAAGGTGGGAATCCAAGAAGGCCCCGAGCCAAGGCGAGCGAGCAACTGGGATGGGGGGAAACAAAGTGTTGAGAGGAGGGGGGGATGTAGGGAAAGGGGGAAGGGGGAAGGGGGAAAAGGGGAGAGGGGGAAAATGGGGAAAAGGGAGGAGAGGGGAAAGGGAGAAAGGGGAGAAAGGGGGAAAGGAGAGAAAGGGGAAAAGGGGGGAAAGGGAGAAGGGAGAAAGGGGGAGAAAGGAGGAAATGGGGGGAAAGGGGAAAAGAGGGAATGGGGTATGCACATGGGTACAGGGTAGGATGCACACACACACTCCCCCTACACAGACCATACCCCCCTCTCCCCCCTAACACCCCTCCCCCCTCCCACACACACTCACGTACCTGTTCTCCAGAACTGCTTAGCTGGCAATCTCAGCATCTCTCGAAGCCTCTCCACCGTCCGATCAACCATCTTTTGAGTATCGCCCGAATCCACCCCTGCCAGACCTGCTGCCGAGCCTCCCACCAAGCCTCCCTCCGAACCTCCCTCCAAGCTTCCGTCCAAACCTCCCATCCTGCTTACTCCACCTGCCAGAATCTCATCCTGTGGCAGATACGACAAAAACGGCTCCTCCTCCTCCTCCGGAGCTGTTGCTACAGCCATAGATGCTACTGCAGGCACTGCTACAACCGTTGATGCTGCAGGAGCTGCTACAGCCGTTGATGCTGCTGCAGGCGCTGCTACAGCCGTTGATGCTCCAGGAGCTGCTACAGCCTGGGGTGGTGCAAATCCAGGAGGGGCTCTTACAGAAGCAGCATGTAACGAGGATGAGCCAAAACCTGGCGGAAAAGCGGGAGAGGCGGAAGCGGATGGTTGGGAGGGGGAGGGCCCGAAACCGGGAGGGACTGCGAGGCCAGACGAACCAGCTGTAGCAGCTGTAACAGCGGCTGCTGCAGGGGGTGTAGCAGATGTAGCAGCGACTGTAGCAGCTGTTGATTCTACTAGATTGGTCCGCTTCTCAAATCCAGGGGGCACTGAGGGAGCAAGTGGGGCAGATCCTAAAATTCCGGCACTGCCCGTCGCATCCAAATTCTGCCCGTCAACCAGCTGAGATTGTTGGATTTGCTGCCCGTGCGCTGAGTGATGAGCCTGCTGCTCTGCTTGCTGCTCCCCCTGCTGCTGCTCTGCCTGCTGCTGATAATTCCTTCCCCCTCGTCCGCCCCCCCCGCCCCATCTTCCGCCAAACCCGCCTCCCCGTCCTTGCCTTCCGCCTCCGCCGTCCCCCCCCCAGCCGCGCTGATCCCCTCCCCCATGCCTTCCGCCGCCTCCGCCCCGCCCCCCTCTCCCTCCGCCACCCCAGCCTGACGCGTCCCCGTCACCCCTTCCGCCTCTTCCCCCTCCGCCTGTTCCCCCTCTGCCTGTCCCCGCGCCATCCCCCCAACTGTCTCCCACATACGCCCCCCCGCCACCCCTCCTTCCGCCTCCACGTCCGCGGCCTCCGCCGCCGCCCCCCCGCGGGCGCCACTCACGGCCTCCGCCACCCCCCCCTCCGCCTTCCATGTTTCGAGGCGAGCGGGAGGTTCGGAAATAAGGTCAGCAGTAGTGCTGATCCAGATGGATGTGACTATACGCGGATCAAGCTGGCGTCCGTAAGTCGCGAAACTTCGCTAATAGATCAGGCACGGGAAACACGCGTGACCCTGCCAGTTCATAGTAGGGACTACGGAACAGAAACCAGGAATGTATGTAACCTACCGTATTTAGGAAAACACTACAGAACTAGATCCTTCCTCAAAATGTTGCGTAATTCCCGAGGTTTGTTGGGTTGGGGGAAGCAGCACTCACGTAATCCCCTAGGCCCTTGCTGGTCGACGAATTCAACGAATTTTGTACCCGATAAACGTTCAATCCAAACAATTGAAGCCGTTACACTTTTGATATCACTGCTACTTGATATAGATTCAGCAAGAAACGAAAGTCATTGAGGGCTAGTACGGTAAATAAATTGGTGATTGCTTGTTATAGAGGAGAGCGTTACAGCATGTAGCAAACAAGTGTTGCACTACACCGAGCTACACCCAATCATCTTGCCATACTTCCAACCATGGCTCTTCCTCTCCACACCTGCCTTTCATCCACCAATCTACCTCCACCGTTTCCTCCATAACCACCATCCCCATAAGCACCAGGGCCATACGCCCCATTCCCATACCCTCCATTTCCATAACCCCCAGGAACACCATTTATACCACCTCCGTACCCCTCATAATACCCCTCATCCTCATCCTCCTCAGAATCATACTCGTTATAGTCATCCTCAACATCATCACGCCGCCTCTCGGACGGCAGCTCTTCAGGCAGAATGTACCCTGCTGCCTCGGCGTTTCTCAGGCCAGTGGCAGTGCAACACGTGGCAAGCCCAAACAGGGCTGAAGCTGCCGACCAGAGGGTTGAGCCTGTAGCAGGAGGAGCAGCAGCGGCTGTAGCAGGAGCTTCTGCTGTAGCAACCTTCCCTGTTCCTGCACCTGCTTTTCCCGAAACCATCATCTGCTGCTGCGAGGGATGGAACGGAGGCTGCTGCTTCCCATTCCGGCTCATCTTCCCCCCTCCTCCCCCCTCTCCTCCTCCCCTTCCGCTCATTCCCCCCATTCCCCCCTTCCCAGGCGCAACCATCACTCCTCCCTCGCCCTTATACCTCCCACCTCCCCCTCTCGCTCCGTTCGCTCGCCGCCCGGAAACCCTTCCATACCCGTCCATCCTCCCAACCACAGGAACCGGCCCGGCAAACCGCTGCATCTCATTGGGCGGGAACGGGGCGGCATAATACGGCAGCAGCGGAGGATTCCCCACAGGAGCACCCACAAACCTCCCACCCTTCCCCCCCACCACTGGCCCATACCCGGGCACAGCACCATAGGCAGGGAGGGGGGGAGGAGGATAGGCGTGACCATACTGTCCTGGGAACATCCCTCCTCCTGGTCCGCCGGCGTGAGCAGCAGCAGAGAGCGCAGCAGAGGTTCGGGCTCGCATCGACTCTAGCGCCTGCTCTAGGGTTGCCATGGCTTGGAGCACGTCCGGGGTCAGAGCAGGCTCGGCAGCACCGGAGCTAGCAGACCCAGCCACGGGGTTACCACCTGCACCAGTCCCACCTGCGCCTGCCAGCGCGGCTGCGGCAGCAAAGGCTGCGGCGATAGCCGGGTCTTGGGATGAGAACGGGGCGTACGCAGGAGGAACGGGAGGATGAGGGTGCTTCTGCTGGTGCGGGTACGAAGCAGGTTCTGAATCTTCCAGGGTAACCAGCAGCTGATCCTCTGCATCCTCGAATACCTCTTCCTCCTCCTCCTCCTCCTCCCCTCCATTCGTGTGAGTCACTCTTGCCGCTGCTGCTGTTGCTGCTGCTGCTGATGCAGCTGCCATGGCAGGCCTGTGCGCCTCCGTGGGAGCCCCTTCCACAAACGACGCTGTTGCCACCAGCACCTTCTTTTCCTCCTCCACCTCCTCGCCTTCCTCTCCCTCCACCCCCGTCTCTCCCAACCCATTTTCACCCATCCCCAATCCTTCGGCCGCCTTTGCCCGGTACTCGTCCATAGCCGCTTCAATCCGGCCATACAGCTTCTCTTCCTTCAGAACCTTCCTAAACTCCACCCCCTTTTGCCCCTCATCTGCCAAGTCCGTCTCAACCTCTTTCCTAAACAAATTGAACAGCACCCCTCCGAACTCCTTGGTAACGAAGTTAACCACCATGGCCGGGAGCTTCAGATCGCAGGTGAAGATCGACCGGAAGTGGCAGCGTGAACGGCCGAGATCTTTGATGGAGAATCCGCCGTTGATGGCCATGCGGACCATTCCCGAGGGGACTGGCGGCGCCATGTCGCGGGAAAACCCGTGAATGGATGCGTCGATTTCGCTGTTGTCCTCTGGAAGCTGGGGATTGGAAGGGAGAAGGGAACGGGGAGCGGGGGGCATGGAGAGAGGGGGTGAAAGTGGGGGGTTGAGTGAGCCGTGCAGGCGACACGCCACGAGAAAACCCTTGGAAAAGAATAGTCGATTTCGTTATTGTTCGTAGGCACAGGCACCCTCACACGCGGGCGCACAGACGAACACACTCGCATACTTAACAACCCTCCCATATTCCCAGACACAGTCGCAATCATACTCGTACACTCACCGTGCGGACGACAGTGGTGGCAACACCCGTGTCGGAGTCGTAAATGGTAAAGAAGATCATCGGAACTCACACTCGCACACACAGTTACAGTCACACACTCACACGCTCGCGCACTCAATGTCACACTCAGCATACGCACCGTGCGGACGACAGTGGTGGCAACGCCCGTGTCCGAGTCGTAAATGGTAAAGAAGATCATCGCGAACTCCTGCCACGGGAACGGCCACGGCACCTTGAACCTGGAGGTAAGAGCACAACGAACGAACAGGAGAGGAGAGGAGAGGAGAGGAGAGGTGAGGTGAGGACAGCAGGAGGATTGTGGTTAGCTTGCGAGTTGACGGGGAAGGGTAGCAAGTTCCACTAAAGTGTGTGTAGCACACACGATACTCTGACTCCGTCTAGCGAGCTACTCACTTCATATAAGTGATATCGAAGCCGTCGCCGACGCGCGCGAGGTACCGGTTCTCGACGATTCTGTAGACGGGCATGTCGCCCTGCGGCCACCACTCCTTGAAGAACCCCGCGTCGCGCGTCATGGCGACGGCGGCGTGCACGGGGCTGTCGATGCGCCCCTCCATGCACAGCGCGTTTATCGCCGTGCCTTCCGGGCCCTTGCGCAGCATCGCGCGGTGCTCCGGACCCTCCTCGCACATCTGCGGGAGAAGCAAGGACGTGCAGATATAGGTGATGAATACGGGGTTATGAGATTGTGACGGGGTGATGGAATGCAGAAATCAAACGCTTCGCATTGTTGAGGCGCATTCCAGGAGTTTGTAGAAATCGCTTCAGTGGCTAGTAGAGGGAAGGAAGAACCTTGTACGTATGTTTTTCGTAGAATAAAAAAAGCGGCGAGTAGAGGGAAGGAAGAACCTTGTACGTATGTTTTTCGTCGAATAAAAAAAGCGGCGAGTAGAGGGAAGAAGAAAGTACCTTCCACGCATTGCGGTCCGCAGGATCGGTAGTAGCGAGAGCCTCCACGCTGACACTCTTAAGATCCTCCAAGAGCGTAACGGTCTCCGCTGCCCAATAGTCCGCCACGCTGTTGCTCGATCCACCTGCTCCCGCTGCTCCTGCTGCTGACCCATTTTTCACGTCCAGCTGCTTGCTTATAAGAGCCGTGACTTTATCGAGGTCCTTCCACGTGGGCTCCTCGAGCGCCTGATCGAGTAGGTCGATGCCTTCTGCTAGCGCCATGGCTTGGGTTTCTTTCGTAGAAATGGAATACTACGCTACAGGTAATAAGTTACCGTTATGGGAATACTACGCTGTTCCGAGTCCAGTTTCCAAGTTGTATTTCGCAGTTCGTGAAATCGTGAATGAGGATTCGGCCTACTATCGTCCTGACAGTGCAGGCGTGACCATGAATCCCGCAGTGGTTAACGGACGATGAAGAAACAAGCTAACGATAGATCACCTGAGAGAGACACTCCTCTAGAATCAATGGTCGCCCTTTCTATCAAGACTGATGAGACTGACTGACTGCCGAAGTTGACGGGTTATGTGATGGCTTGGATGGAACTTCAAGGCACAACTGGGCAAGGTGGGTGGTCAATATGAACTAGCATGTATCGCCTCGGTTTCATACCTGTCGTAGGAGAACCTCGTCCAGCCCCGACTAAAAAACACTGGCGGTGGAGGAACCTGGGAGCCGCGCGCCTTTTCTCCGCTGTACGGATAGCTCTGCGGTGAAACCAAGGTACAAAGACGTAGGTACTTAGTTAAGTGTGTATCAGCGAAAACTAGCGGTGGGATGGCGACAAGACTCGGTACAGTAGATTCGGGTGGACGACTAGGCTCGGACGAAAGACATCTGGTCAGCACAGCGCGACATGTGCGAGGCAACGATGTACCCGAACCGAGCGTCGTGCGTGAAATACCAATCACAACCAACCTTGTTTCGCTAGGCACGGAGCCTGCAGTGGCGGTGGCGAGGTGTGGTGGGGTGAGGCTAGGCGAGGTGGGGGTGAAGTCCGAACCTTCAATTCGATTCCAAGCACCTAGCTTTCGCACCGTTAGCCTCGAATCGCGTCAACTTCACACGCATCGCGCAGTGAACAGTAATGCCGTTCATGCCACCGGCCTATGAATGCAGAGTACGCGATATGAAAGAATTCCGGAGTTAGGCCAAGTGGTTGAGAACAGTTGTAGACGTTTCTGATAAGGGGCATTCCGGCTGCAGTCTATGATTTGACTCATTAAAATTTTAAGTGCGAATCAAAATTATTTTTCACAGTTTAGCATTTCTTGCAACACATAAAGCACAAATGACGTAGAAGCCTTTGTGTGTCACGTGGTTGAACAGCTCTTATTTTGGTGAACTCTTTAACACAACTCAAAACCTTTTTTACTACGTAATAAATACGAAACAAAGCACGGCTTCACTGCCTCAGCTAGACAGACCTACCCAGGGGCCTAAAGAACCTTGCTACTGCGTGAAAATCTCATTCCAAAGAATCTCTTGCCGATTCTTGAAAGGGAAACCCTCTTCCCGCCATCTTTCGGCTTTCCGGCCTTACCAGCATTACCATTGTCTAAGCATCCCAGTGCAGTATCTTCGTCACTCCCACCCGACTCTCCTGTAACCGTGACAGGCCGAGCGGCAGACTTGACCGGCCCAACAGAACTGCTTGAGAGTGCATTGTTCCCTGTCTCCCCATCACCCAGCACCACCTCCTCTTGGAAACCATCCTGCTGTGAAGGTGAGCAACTGAAGGCTTCTCTCTTCGTCCCAGTTGCAGCAGTCATGCTTGTGACATGTTTCTCATGCTTGGCATCGCCTTGTGGATCTGAAGGACCCGCTTCTGCTGCTGCTGCTGCCGCTGCACGCGCACGCACAAATAGAATCGCCTTATCCAGCGTAGCAACCGCCCGGAAAATTGCGGGGTCTCTGTGATAAAGCCCGGGGTAACTGCTCGGACTGCTGCTACCGCTGCTGCTCTGGCTGCTGCTGCCGCTGGCACTGGCACTGTCACCGCAAGCAAAGGAGCTTCTGCTGCTGGTCACGCTGCAACTGCTGTTGAGCATGTCTGGAATTTCACCTGCCCGAAGGTTAGCAATGACACCATAGCTGCCGCTGCTGGTGCTGCCAGTGACGGTTCGGATGCTTGGAAGCGGCCCCGAACGTACCGAGGAGGACTCCCGAAGCAGGCTCGCCATGCCTTCTCCGGCTTCCAGACCTCCGTGCCGAGCCAAAGGTAGAGGCCCGGAAGAAAAGGTTTGGGTAACGGAGCTGAAGGAAGTGGAAGCACTGGGAGGGCCCTCAGCAACATTAGCTGCAGCAGAAGCAGCAGCCAGAATCGTTGCAGCAGCTGCCGATGCTTCACTTGCAGCCATACCAGCCGCTCCTCCGGCTCCCAACCCGCTCCCGGACCTGCTTCCGGACCTGTCCCGAGCCTGTGAACCAGGAGGTTCAACAGAAGGTCGAGTCAGCGCTACAGCCGAAGCAGCAGCAGCCTCCAGCTGTAGCAGAGCCTCCTCCGCCTCCTCAGGCCCAAGCACACTCTCCCTCTTAGATAAAGACGAAACAAGCCGCTCCACCTCCTCCTCCACCTTTTCCCCCAATTCCCTCAACGACCTGCCCTCCTCCTCACTCCCTTCCCTCCTCCTCCTCTCCCCTTCCTCCGCCTTGCCCCGTCTATACTCCTCCATTGCTTTCCTCAGACCCATGTAGACCGGATCAGAGGCTAAGAGCTGTTGAAACGCCCCACGCCCCTTCTTCTTATCACACTTGTTCACAGTAGCAGCAGCGGCCGCGGCTTTGACGATTGTGTCTACCTCGTGACAGAGCAGGTGGTAACCAGTGCCGGCTAGCTGCCGGGCAACGAAATTGATGAGCCACGGGGGCATGAGGTCGAACTTCATGTCCAGCGTGCATGCTCCGCTGTGGGGGGGGGGGGGGGGGGGAGAGGGGGGTAGCATGGGAGGCGACAAGGGAAGGCGTGGTGGCGTTGATGAGCCACGGGGGCATGAGGTCGAACTTCATGTCCAGCGTGCACGCACCGCTGTGGGGGGAGGAGAGGAAGGGAATGTGGCAAAGACAGGAACGGTGAGGAGGGTGTGGTTGTTGGTGCTGGTGGTACTTTCAGAGGCAACGGAGGCGATGATGAGCCTTAGGGGATTTTGAGAGACCTCAAAAACACCCTCTCTACACGTTGTTGGTGCTGGTGGTACTCTCAGAGGCAACGGAGGCGATGAGCCACAGGGGATGCAGGAACAGCGCCAGGAGCAATAGCAGCAGCAGCAGTTGACTTTTGAGTTGACTCAAAAGTCAACTTTCGGAGGCAACGGAGGCGATGAGCCATAGGGGATGCAGGAACAGCGCCAGGAGCAATAGCAGCAGCAGCAGCCGCCCGCCACCCCACCCCACGTCCTGCCTCGCAAGTTGCAGACACAAAGCCAGGAATAGCAACAGCGGCAAGGCATACCCCTCGAATTTCCCAAGAGGGAAAGCTTACCGGAAGTAGCAGCGGCCGCCCCCCAGGTCCTGGCCTGCAAAGCCGCCGCCCACAGTCATGCGCACACAGCCCGGCGCCACAGCGGGCATGGCGGATGGGTGCAGAGGTGCTGTCTCTGGGTCCATGTGTGATATGTCGTCTGGTGGCTGGGGGAAGGGGAAAAAGGGAGAGGAGGAAAAGTGGGGAGTAAGGAGGGGGTTGGGTTCGAGGGTTGGGAGGTACAGTCATGCGTACAAAGCCAGGTGCAGGTGTTGTGGCCATGTGTGATGGGTCGTCTGGTGGCTGGGGAGGAAGCGAGTAGAAAAAGCGAGTACAGTCATGCGAGTACACAAAGCCAGGTGCAGGTGCCAGGGTTTGACAGGTCGTCTGGTGGCTGGGAATTGAAGGGGGGATTGATGGCGGAGGCAACAAAAGGGGAGAAAGGAAGGGGGTTGGGAGAGACGAACCGGCATGCACACGTGCAGAAGGTTAATGTTTATTTTTGAGAATTCTCATGTGGCAAAAGTCACAAGAACATGGTTGGGAGAGACGAACCATCATGTATATTGGAGCGACTTTTGAGAATTCTCAAAAGTCGCTCCAAAAGTCACATGAACATGGTTGGGAGAGACGAACCACCATGCACACGTGGTGCAGAAGGCGAGGCCACAAAGCAGGCCGTGGCCGTGCGTGTTGTGAGGCATGAAGGCGAGGGAGAGCAGGCACGAGCAGGCCACTCACAAGAGCACCCACACGCACACTCTCACTGAGAGCATTAACAAGAGAGCACCGTTGTTCCCTCAACACCAGCACCCACCGAGTGCACGGAGGCGACAAAGAGGCCGGTGGGCCGTGTCGTGAACCATGAAGGCGAGGACTGGTGAATGTCCTCGGCTGTGCAGCAGTGCACAGAAGCAACAAAGAGGCCGGTGGGCCGTGTCATGAACCATGAAGGCGAGGACTGGTGGACGTGTGTTTCTCAGCAGCATCAGTAGCGGACCCACTCCTGCCTGCACGACTCACCAAGAGCAGCCACGCTCACCGTCGGCGCGTCTACATGAGAGAGGCTCACTCGCCAGGTCACTCCCCACATCACCCATTGTTCACCCCCACACTCACCGAGTGCACGGAGGCCACAAAGAGGCCCGTGGCTGTGTCGTGAACCATGAAGGCGAAAAAGAGCAGCTCTCGCGTGGCAAAGGGCCATGGTGACTTGAACCTGTGGGACGGGAGAGGAGGTAAGGGAAGGGTGGGAGGCAAAGGAGAGGTATGAGTTGAGTCAAAACACACACGCGTGTGAACCATGGAGGCGAAAACGAGCAGCTCTCAAGAGGCGAATGGCCATGGCGACCTGAACCTGTGGGGCGGGAGGGAGAGGAGGTAAAGGAAGAGTGGGAGGCAAGGAGAGGTATGAGGTGAAGGGCCACAGATCAACCTACTGAGGCCAAAGCATGACTCGCTATAAGCATCACTGTGACTCGCTAGCTCGATCTCGACATCACCCCTGACTCGCTATAGACATCCCCACAACCCGCTATAGGCATCACGACGAATCCAGCACCGTGACTCACTGCAGGTAGCTGAGCTCTAGGCCCGGTGCGATGCGGTGGGCAAATTTGGACTCTAGCACCTTGAAGGGCGGCACGCTGAACTGAGGCCACCTGCTCGGGATGACGTGGCATGGGATGACGTGGAATGGGATGACGTGGCATGGAAAAGACGTGGCATCGATGCCCGCAGCATGCCTCATGGAGGTGTGAAAAGGGATACGATGGTGAGTGCAATGCTGCGCGTGACGAGAATGGACTTTTTGGAGCGCCTCAAAATTGAGTGCAATGCCGTGCGTGACGAGAATGGACGGAGTGGAAGAGAGTGACGCGTGGGACCGAGTGGGGAGATGGGGGAAAGGGGAAGCCCCCCGGCTTGGGACCGAGTGGGGAGTGGGGGAAATGTGAAGAGAGATTGGGTGGGTTGGTTAAGGGAAAGGGGAAGGGCGACAGAAGGTGGAGAAGTCAGTTTAGGGCGAAAAGCGAGCATGGATTTGAAGAGACGGTGGGCTTTAATTAGTCTTACCAGTCCTTGAAAAACGGGACTTCCCACACCACAGCCAACACTGCATCGTGACACACACAAACGGGGAGAATTAGGGGAAAGATATCATTTTGAGACGCCTCAACTTGTGACGAACGGGACTTGCCAGACCACAGGCAACACTGCAGTGTGACACAAACGTTTGGTGACGGTGAGGAAGATGATGCTGGGAAGTGGGCGGCAAGGCAGGTACGGCTCAGGGACGATCAGAAAAAAAAAAAGATGAAAAAAAAAAGTGATTAGTGACCGCACTGCAGTCACGCTCAACATGGGAAACCAGACACGTGGCAGCAGCGGAAAAGTAGACACGTGGCAGGGTGGCCACGTACACGTGTCAAGCGGGCCGTGGATGATTCCTTCGAGGCAGATCTCGTGCAGTGGCGTGCCCTCAGGACCCTTGCGGTACAACACGCGGTGCTCCTTCCCCTCCTCCTTCAACTGCGCAGTATTGGGAAGGAAGAGGCGAAGGGAGGAGGAAGAAACGAGAAAGTTGAGGAGCCATCATTTTACGGTCTTCAACCGGGTCCGGTCGCCCCTTGCAATACAGCACTTGGTGATTCCTGCCCTCCCCCCCAACCCGCGAGTCAAAATAATCGCAAGCTTAGGGGAAGTGACGCTCAGAAAAGCTATCCGCCACTGGCGATCATCGCTTACCCGCCATTGTCGGTCGTCGCCGCAATCCACGCCGTCCTCCCGGATGCTTTCGTTGCTCAGCGCGAGAGACTCGAGATTCGCCTCTCCCGCGGTGCGGAGGCTGTCCAGCACGTCGATTAACTCGCGCGTCCGCGCCTCGACGAATTTCTCCGAGAATCGCGCGCGACGCGCTTGCTTCCCCGCGGCATCGACGCCAGCACCGCCAGCGTTGGAGCCCGAAAGAATGTTCCCCTTGTTGGACTCCCCGAGAACGTTGCTGCTCGGGCTGAGCCCGGTGCTGACATTTTGCTCCTCGGAATCCGCTACTGCGGAACAGCCATTTGATATTTGATACAAGGACGCCCCAGGTACAAGCGCGGAAGGACGCAGGGGAAAGGGGGGAGAGAAATGGAGGGGGGAAATGGGGAAGGGGTTGGAGGATGAGGGTAGAAGGACTGGGAAGGAGATACGAATTGCGACAGCTTTTTGCGATTGGCGAAGTGGGACACGCGCTGGTTACCATTCTACACCGGTTGCCTGAGTGAGCGACTTAAGCTCTCGAACATTGCTGCTGGTAATCAGTCTCTCGTAGCCGTACTCAAAAGTTACTAATAGCCGACATGAATCTCGCACAGTGTAATAGTTTTTTTTTTTTTCTACGCGTCTTGGAAGCTGCTGCCCATTCTTTCGTGGGTTACCACGCCTCGCACTCTTCGACACTATACAGCACGAAGATCGCTGAAATCACACGAGAAAACTCCGCCATACGGGATTTTGCGAGGATTGTATTCCGTTGCGAAGAATGATATCACTTTCCTGCGAATCACTTGGATCTGTGCAGCAGTCTTCCCATCGCCGCAACTACCCTATCGTACTAAACTTGCACTGGAGTATTCACAAGTACTCTAAAGCGCGGCATCACCTGGCAGCCTAAAACCTACTCGGGCCCGCGATCGGTTTGCGCTGCTCTTACATCAGGCTTTTAATCTTTATTTCCTCCACTATTTTTCGGGGTGGGGGTAGGTATAGGTGGCACCTGGCAGCAGCAGCAGCAACTTACATCACTATTACTGAAAAAGAAGAAAGAGACGTCTCAAACTTCGCACGTACCCAGGTGCCGCCTGACAGCAGCCGCGACGGCATCGCGATCCGTCCACGCATGCGACGCGAGCGACCTATCGAGCGCCTGGCGCGCTTCTAAAAACGACATCGGCGACCGCGTCGCGCTTGTCGAGGCGAACACGTCACGCTCTTCGAGGCGCGCCTCGGAAACCAAGTCACGCGTTCCTGCTGCTCGAGTTCTTAGTCGTCTTGGAAGAAGGGGCTCAGGGTGAAAGGCGGTTCTAGATGTGAGAATGAGGAGGAAAAACCTGTGGTCGACTGATACAGGTGATTGGAGAGTCGATTTCCCAGATGATCTGGGAAGGAGAGTCCAGCACAACAGGTTCAGCGTGTGTGTGAACTGCAAAGTAGGCAATTTTATTTTGCTGCAGCACAAGTTTTGTCTTCAGTCGCAGGTCTGTAATGCAGTAAAGCACAACTGAACCTGCTCGGCAGACACACACGGTCGTAAAGAACTAATGCTCCACAGGAACTACTAAAACCAATCACTGTCAGTGAGTGAATCAATAGGAAGAGGAAGAAAGGAAAATGGAAGAAATTCCCCCCCAGCACCAAGAGAATTGCTGCCTTCGGTTTTGACTGGGAGGAAGCGCAACTGCTTCTCGTGAACAGATGTTGAAGAGCGGGAATCGACGGAGCAGAGTCGCCATACATCTTCATCCACGGTCGTCCTCGACCCGCATTTTCGACTGATTTTGGACGGAACGAGACTGGATGAGGAGGGGTCGGGATGGGAACGGTTCGGGTCGGGATTCGGTCGGGACGGAAGTGAATGTATTTGTGCCTGAATGCTACGACAGGTTTGGGCGACTCGGGACTCGGGATTCTGGGTGCGAGATTTTGTGGCTGCAGTTTCGTAGCTGAAATTGCAAGAAAAGGGGGGAAAGGGGAGGGGGGGGGTACAGTAGGCTAGGAGGAGGGTGCTTCGTTCCAAAAGTGAATTTGGTCCGTGCGATTTTAGCTGCCAGGTTCGGCCCATAAGAGAAAGTGCCGGAGCTTTTGGTTCCGCCAATGGTGAGGCGCTCTACGCAACCCAAACCACCGCCAGTCACGGAAGCCGAGCAGCCAGCTTGTCGGTGTGCACGAGGTGATTGCCCGGCCCGCCAGGTTGCTGGCTGATATTTCAGTTCATCGGGGGAAGAGCAAGTGACATGGCCGAATCGTGCCAACGGTCAGGATTCCCGCTCACACAATCAAGTACGGTGCGTCCCCCATCAATGCAATCTTCGTTAATCCGCGTTGACATACCCCCCATTGTGTTGTTCAAGGTACACAGAAACCTAACACCTTATAATCACTTGGCATGACTTCCTGGCATATCCCCTTGCTAAACAGCTTCACTAAACACCTTGTCTAACAGTCTACCCAACCACCCACTCTTCATCCCTGCACCAAATCCAAGTCAACCCAACTCAACCCCTTCCAGCACCGCACGTCACACTCGGGCCCATCCAACACTGTCAATCTCATTCCGTGCCTTGCGCAGCAGCTCCAGTCTCTTCCATGCGGCCTGCCTCCGAGCCATCACGTCCGGATCCTCATCTAGCAGCTTCGCCAATGCCTTTCCGTCCTCCCTGCCCACCATCGCATAGAACCTGTCCAGCAGCCGCCGCTTTGCCTCCCGGACCTGCAACGAACAAGCAAAAGGGCAGAAAAAAATAAGTTGGAAGGTCATCCCCACCCATTAAAGGTAAAGGGCAGAGATCTTGCTGAATCCAAGCATGGGCCATCTTGTTGAAGCAAAGTGGACTATCATACTTGGCTGTGGGCAACCCTACCTGATAATGCACGGCCTACCTGGCAATGCACCACAGCTTTGGGGATGGCATTTTTGATTCGACTCAAAAATCGACTCATCTCAGGCAGTGGGCAACCCTACCTGATAATGCACGGCCTACCTGGCAATGCACCACAGCTTTGGGGATGGCGTTCTGCAAGCACTCCATGACCATGCCCACATAAGTTGACACGTTGGAGCCTGGAGAGGGGGGGGGGGGCAAGAGTTGACAGAAAAGGGAGGGAAACCAAGGATGACTCCTGAGTTGACACGAAAAGCAGGTGGCAAACTGTTTTTGCACTGTCAAGCACTCCATGACCATGCCAAGCAGCAAAAGCCTCTTGATACAAAATTCGTGGGATAAGCAGAGACTTCTGAGGCGCCTCAAAAGTACGTCTGAGATTAGAAAAACCCACCGATTCTCCTGCAGTGCATTTCCTGGTATCGATCTGCCTTGGAGGCAGCCTCTCCCCGCTTCCCTTCAGCGCTTTGAACTTGCCTCTCACACGCAAATGCATTCCCAGATACCCAAACTCACTCACTGACTTTTTCTGAAGTGCATTTTAGGAGGCTCACCAATTCTCCTGAAATGCATTTCCTGGTATCGATCGGCCCCTGTAGGCAGCCTGTCCCCACTGCCCTTCAGCGCCTTGATCTTGCTACTAATGCCACTCCCACTCCCCTTCTTCCCATCCTTCCCATCCTTCATATCCGGCCCATCCTCCAGATTCTCCAGCCCAGGCAGCCGCCGGAAAAACTCCACGGTCAGGTAACTCGTCTCCATCTCCACCAATCGCACGGTCAGCTTCCGGCTGTTCTCCCGAAAACTTTCCAGCGACTGGGTGGCAGCAGCTGACAGCTCAGCCTGGAGCGAGGGAAACCGGAGCAGCTCGGTGGTTTCCCCTACGGAGATGCGAACGAGGTCTCTGAGAATGAAATGCACCTCGTCCACCACTGCTTCGGCCGGCCCCTTGAACATGAGCAGCGCGCTCTCGATTAAGCGCCGGTAACCGCCCTCGGGAGCGATCAGATGCGGCTGGTACCCGTCTGCCTCCGCCACAATCCTCCTCACATCTGCCAGTTGTTGGGGCGAGGAAGGGGTTGGGTGGGTAAGGGGTCGGGAAGGGAGAAACCGCAGGAGCTGGGTGGTTCCCCCCACGTAGATTATAACGAGGTCTGATTTTGAGATTGAACGAGGCTTGTTTTTGAGGCGTCTCAAAAGATTGAACGAGGTCCCTGGGTATAAAATGCACCTCGGTCGTGCAAGGACTGGGAGATGGAAATCACGTACTCTGGATGGAGAGGTGCTTGTCAAAGGGAAGCTTGTTGAGTGCTGCTGGCAGCTTCGTCTCAAACACCGCATTGATTCGGTCGCCTCCTGGCCGACTGGTGAACACCAGCAGTAGGAGAAGGGAGAAGAGCAGGAGAACATAGAAGAGCCAGAGCAGAAGGGGGGTTAGCAAGATGAAGAAAAACGTGGAACCCTCCATCACGCCCCACACTATCCTTCTCAACAGCAGATGGATAGTGTGGGGCGTGATGGAGGGTTCCACGTGATGGATTAAGATATGATTAATATCAACCACCATGCACAGCAGATGACAGATCATTCACTACCACGCCTCCCAGGTGCTCCTTAAAAACCCTGATTTCCCTCGATTCTTGCAAGGCGCTCGGCACATGTCAGATCAGACGCAGGGTAATCTCAATACTTCTCTGCCAATACCCTAATTACCCTGAACACTTGTAAGGCGCTCGGCACATGTCAGACGCAGGGTAATCTCAATACTTCTCTGCCAATACCCTAATTACCCTGAACACTTGTAAGGCGCTCGGCACATCTCCCAGTGCAATGCAGCCCTCACTACCACATAACGCCTAGAACAGCACACAACCACCACACCCCGCCATCCAGGTGTTCATGGCACATCTCCCAATGCGATCCTCGCTAACTAACAAGGACAGCACCACACAGCACACACCCACCCTGCCCCACAACCCTTACCCGCCATCCAGGTGCTCCTTGAAAATCTTGTCAAATGCTCGGCACATCTCCAGCACCGTGTACAGCTGGGCCTGCGGCCCTTTCAATGCCTTAGCCCCAGCTCACCCCAGGACACACCCATCCACTCCACGAGCTTAACCACCCCACATACCATGCACGCACTTACCCGCCGTCCAGGTGCTCCTTGAATATCTTGTCAAACGCTCGACACATCTCCAGCACCGTGTACAGCTGGGCCTGGGCGCGGTGAGATGGGGTTCGGGACGGGGAGAGAGGGAGAGGGGAAATGGGGGATTGGTGGGGTGAGTGGGGTGTTGGGGAATGGTTGGACTGTTGGGGAACGAAAGAGCTGTTCATTCTGCAGTTGTTAGTACATAGAGAGGGGGAGGACAGGAGGTACATACCCTGACTGCACCTCGTCTCAAAATACCCACTCACCCCAGATTCACTACCAATGGGCCGGCCCAGCGCGTTCATCTCCTTCTCAAGGTCGTCAATGTTGTTGTTGATGAGCGACTGGATGCAGAGGACCACAGGCAAGGCCCAGAGACGCACACTCTGGAGGCAAAGACAAATGCACTGACAGCACCTCTCTGGTGGTACTCTACTCACCCCGGCTTCGCCCCCAATGGGCCGGCCCAGCGCGTTCATCTCCTTCTCAAGGTCGTCGATGTTGTTGTTGATGAGCGACTGGATGCCCGGAATCTTGGAGCGAATCACTTGCTCCAGATGCTGCCAGCACAGCAGCACAGCATAGGAACATGACAGGTGAGGGAGTGCATGGTGAGGTGAGGGGGACATAGTAGAATCCATGAGAATCTGAGTCATTGTTGATGAGCAACTCAATGCCCAGGATCATGGAGCGGATGACTTGCTCCAGATGCTGTCGGCACAGCAACACGGCGGCACGGGGAGGGGTCACGCAGAAGAACACGTGAGGGAGAGAATGTGATGAGGACACTGTGAATTCCATGAGAATCTGAGCCTGTGTTGTTGAGTGACTCAATCTCAATGCCCGGATGCCCGGATCTTGGAGCGAATGACTTGCTCCAGATGCTGCCAGCACAGCAGCACGACACGACACGACACGACACAGTGGACATGGTGTCAAGGGCCCACGTGAGAGCGATGGCAATGAGGGTGCACCGAAATTTGAGATCCCTGGACTAATCATGCTTCAATGACATTTGACATGCACCAAGAGCCTTAAGGCCGGACCACCACTGCCCATGCAATTAGCCAGACACCAGTGGACGTACCTTAGAGAGCATCTTTGCGAGGTACTCAGTGCCCATGCGGTTGGCGAGATGTGAGTAATCGGCAGAGGTTTGGAAGTACTCCCTCTCCTTGCGGCGGGACGCCAGCATGTCCACGTTGCGGTTGATATCGGCCTGAGAACGGTTCACCACGCCCACCCACGGATACTTGAGCTTGTACGAGCGCCCCTCTAGCACCTGGTGGTGTGTGTGTGAGGCGTGTGCAGGGAGGGAAACGAAATAAGCGATCAAAGGCAGGTTCACCACACCCACCACTCGTATTTGAGCTTGTAGGGACGGCCTTCTAGCGCCTGGTGGTGTCTACAGCAGGGGAAAGAGCAGAGCTGACAACGGTCGGCAATAAAACGAGAGCGCAAATCTGGAGACTGGAGCACGAGAACACACATGGCAAGCTCTCAAATCATGCCCGAACTGTGGGCGTGGAGCACGGAAATCAGACAAAAGGACATGCAGCAAGGGAAGGGCGGTGAGGGCGTACATCAAGAGCGTTGGTGCCCTTGTCCATGAGGTCGAGCTTGGTCAGCACACCCCATGTCCTCTCGCCTGCAGGCCACCACGCAGCACAGGGAGCACAGCGCAAAAGAAAGGGTTGAGCGGGAGAGTGGGAGAATCTCAAGAGCCTTGGTGCCCTTGTCCATGAGGTCGAGCTTGGTCAGCACACCCCATGTCCTCTCGCCTGCAGGCCACCACGCAGCACAGGGAGCACAGCGCAGAAGAAAGGGTTGAGCGGGAGAGTGGGAGAATCTCAAGCGCGTTGGTGCCCTTGTCCATGAGGTCGAGCTTGGTCAGCACACCCCATGTCCTCTCGCCTGCCAGGAAGGGGAACCAACGGGAACATACGTGGCTAGCTTGAAAGGGAGGGCGTACATCCGGGGCTACTTACCCAAGTTACCCCCAGGGTCGATCTCTCTCACCCTGCAAGTGGCATAGGAGGTGCCATTGCCTTGGCTGTTTTCAATGAGCCCCAGAGAAATTTACCCTAGCGAGTCATGGCTATGTACAGCTAGAAGATTCCGGCTAATTGCCCTCAGAATGGTGCACCCTCATGACCTCTTACCCTCAGGGTCGACCTCTCTGGCCATGCGCATGGCATCGGAGGTGGCAATGTCTTGATTGGCGGGAGATACAGCCAGGATGATACAGTTGGGCTGTAGGGGAGTGAGGGGAGGGTTGGGTTGAAGGCGCGAATTGCGGGATGGTGGAAATACTATGAAGGTTTGTATGTCAAATTAAACACACAATGCAAATGCATTCATTGATAGGTAATGCAGCCAGAATGGCTCCAACCCCCAAGCCCCCCCACACTTCATCCATCATACCCAACCTCCTACCTTGATCCATCGTTCCTCACCCCCAAACGCATCCCCATAACGAGCACTGCAATGGTTTATGAAGGGAGGCACACATATTGGCACCACCACTCTTCCCTTCCCCACACTCGCACTCACCTTCTCCACGTACTGCCGAACCATGTCCTCAATGTCCCTCACAATGCTCTCCGACTGGCCCTCTGCAATCATTCAGGCCACCAACGCCACCATCACAGGCACGCAACAAATCACCACCATCACATTGACACGCATACACAGGTGAAGCAATGATCAGATCAGACTTCACCTGCGAGGTCATCACAGGCACACAACGCACTGGAAACAACGCCACCTCTCAGGCGAGCCTGATGCTTTTTGAGACATTTCATAACTCAATGTGCTGTCCAGATCCACTAAGTGCTCCGTGTGAAATCACAAACCACGGAAGGGGCAGGGGTGGTGTGTGTGGGATGCAGGAGGAGGGGGTTGGGGGGGAGGAGAGGGGATTACAAATAGTGACACACCTGCATTAGCCTGCCACCCAGGGTATCAAAAACAGCCATGCCCCAATGCTTGACAACTCACCCACGGCAATCTTTGTGAGTCCGGGCAGATCCACCAGGGTCAGATTCACCACTGCAGAAACAGAGCAACAGACAGGAGCTCAGTCGGTTAACAAACAAAAGAAAAGATGGAGGCTCACAGAAAATCGTGGGTTTGCCTGACACGAAGGTAGAGAGGAGCACATGATGACTCGAATGAGAAAATCGATCATTGCAATCATTACACGTGGACACGGGTAGAAGGATGAAGGCTGAGGTGGATGGATGCATACCCTTGGGAGAGTAGATGCTGACGTGGATGGATGCATACCATTGGGAGAGTAGATGCTGAGGTGGATGGGGACAGGAGAGATCATCTTGGTCTTCCCAGTGATTCGATCCGTTTCATCTGCAACCTCCTTTCTTACAGCAGCTGCGGAGAAAGATGGAGAAATAATCGGGAAGACAAGGCATGACATGTTTATGAGAGACGACATGGGCCAAGAACATTCAAAAATGGTGGAATGACAACAAAGCAGCAGAATGGCATTGACAGGGTCGGGGCTGTAATAACTGATTCTGCCCTGGCCGCTCACCCCAGTCGGTGTACTTCTTGCCCGGCTGGTGCAGGAACTCCGCGTATTCAGATGATGAGTCCACCTTGTGCAGCTGCAGCACCAATGGCCGCCGGGTGACAATGCCTGCAGTCACCAGCACAGCAGAGCACAGCAGAGCACAGCGCAGCACCGCACAAAACCACATAGCAAAAGACAGCACCACACACAGCACAGCACAGCTCATCACCGAACATCATACACCATCACCACATACAACGACACACATCACCATCACCCCAGCGGACGGTCATGATTAGAGCTAGCAAGAACAAGAAAATCATTAGCAAGGTAGCGCGACGACAGAGACCAACACATACAAACACTTTATAGAGATCAGTCATCGCGGAACATGACTGAGGCCTTTGTAAAACACACGGACGGAAAAGTCAAGCCGTCGGCTGTTGCTATGACAATATACCTGATCCTCGAGGAAGGAAATCCTTTCCCACAATGCTCTCTAGCACCGACGATTTTCCCGAACTCTGCCACGTGATGGGAATGGGATGGGAGCGGGATGGGAGCGGGATGGATGGAGAAGCTAAGCGGGGACATTGTAGGAGGATATCGTCGCAAGAGTCGAGACTATGCCTGAACGACAACGTGCAGAGAACAGTCTACAGTGAAATATTATGATATAATCTCTGTGGTCATATGGAGGTTCTCTTTGTCCCTGTGCAAAAGCCTCTGATCGAATGGGCCATCGCCAAATCCAATACAAGCATCGTCATCGCCAGCATCAGATTTGGCAACCCGCTATACATACCTCGGGTTGACACACGCCGACAGAGGACGAGTCAGAAATGCACCAGAATATGACCGTGAAGGAAACACATTTATTGGAATGAGATTGTGAACCAGGACCCTTTGATTATGCTTGGCGCAGTTATACTATCGGATGGTCATAAATAATAATCCGAACCCCAATTGTTAGGTATTTGATGCGAATTTATCCGCTTCGCCTGACCTCCCACCACAGCCACCGAAACGACTTTCTAGTCCGGTCAAAGGCAGCCTCAAACTGATAATATTTTCGACGCGCGTAACTATCCGCCTCACCTGACCTCCCACCACAGCCACCGACGGAAGCTGCTCCCAGAGCGTCGGCAGCGCGTCTTCAGCGCTCGACACGCCATAGTCTCCTAATACCGTGCACGCCTGCTGAAGCCGATTCACGAGACCTATCAGATTATCCATGTGTCCTTATTTCCGACAGCCTCGTTAGTAGAGAAAGAACAACGTTGTAAGTCCGAGTCGTGGTTCCTGAAATTTGCCGATGCTAATGGGTATCGACTCAGAAACAAGACGCTGACTATCTCGTCGGAACAAGAGGGGTTGAAAGCGGAAAATGGAAGAGAATAGCGTCAAATCCGCTTCAGGAAAACTACACAGAGGACCGACAAGCGAGAAGCTGCGCGTATGTCGATCTGCTACCACGGTGATGGCGAGTGCCGTGTGCGATCTGTTTGTACTGCCTCGTAATATTCTTCGTGTGGTGTTCTTCAAATGAAAGTGCCCAGTCCAGTTTCACCCCTCGGGATTTGGTTTCAGCTGATCATTCCCCAACCTCCTGCTCCTCCTGCCTGCCGAACAGGACCTTGGAGTTGGATGGAACTGGAACTTTCGGAATACCGCGGCTGATGAATCACAAATTCGTTGCGCCGCATTCCACCGAGAGAAAGTCTGCTATTTCGCCGCTCTTTTCCGGCCGGGGGCAGACTGTGGTGGGGGGAATCTCAGCGCCCCTGTCAGGCTGTTGGCGGGGATTGGATGGTCGAAATGGCAGTTGCTCGATAGACCGATTCCGCCCGCAACAGTGGCAGCAGTACTGTATCGAGTATGATTCCGTTTGGAGAGCAGAAATAGGTTATAAGCATACGTATTTGTTCTCACTCTGTCGATATACCAATTCATTTCAACATTCTGCTACGCATTTTTCCACCTTTACATGAAAGTAGTGCCCTTTTTCCGCCAGTGCGCTTCTCCCCCCCTTTGCTCCTTGCGCTCTCCCTCCTGCCCAACGCTGCCAAACGTGGATATCTGCAGCACACTGAACTGCGTGCCGAAATCTCAGATTCCCTCGAAACCCCGCCCAACCGTGCTACTATCTGACAGTATCGCTTTGCCGCGCAGATCATCTCAAAAAACCACACTGGAGGAAGTTCTCATGAAACACTTCCACGATCAACTCGCGAAATGTATCCTAGATTCCATCAGACGGGTTCAATCAGGGCATTCGGCAGAACCAGTGGTGGTAGCTTGTTCAGTGAAAGCTCTTGAAGTCTGGTTCTGCCAATCCAAGGCTCGTCTGGCTTCGCAATAGAAATTTACCTTCTTATGGTCTCGCTTTATCTGGACACGATGCTCCGCAAATTTTAGATTGCTCGTTAGCATCGTCCATTCGATATCTTGAGCTGTCATTCGAGTTCTTCATGCCTCCGATCCAGGCCAGGGCTCTCGGGTGAATCCAGTCCGTCTACTCCTCAAGCGCTGTCATTACAATAAATCGTTTTAGACTCTACCGTCGCTCGCAGCCATGGACGATCTGATCTCGTTAGGCGAGACGCTTCAGCAGGCGTCGTCAGCGCTCGTCGGCGATGACCTTCCGGACCCCGACGATTCGCGGTCCAGCAGCGCCTCCTCCTCGCCCGTCATTCAGCTCGTCGTGCTCGGTGCTCCGGTCAGTTCCGTGCCTTCGCAGTCAGTTCCGTGCCTTCGCAGTCAGTTCCGTGCCTTCGCAGTCAGTTCCGTGCCCTTTTCAGTCAGTTCCGTGCCTTCGCAGTCAGTTCCGTGCCTTCGCAGTCAGTTCCGTGCCCTTTTCAGTCAGTTCCGTGCCTATTTCAGTCAGTTCCGTGCCCTTTCAGTCAGTTCCACGCCTTCTTACCGTTCCCTTCCCAAAAGCTTCGTTTGTGCCGTGACCTATACATAAAAGCTTCGTTCGTACTTTTCCCCGCGAGCTTTTTTCATACCATTTAATCTTCCTCGTACTTTTTTAGCGTGTGCGATCAGCTCTTCTATAGGCGGCTCAAAGTACAACGTTGTGGAATCAGTTAGTATTTGATGCCATCTCTACAGTACTTTCTCTCCGTTTCTCCAGCTACCCCTCGCACTACCCCTCGCGCCAGAGGTAAACAGTGTGACCTGAATCCCGATTGCCTCACCACACTGCACAAACTCGTTCGGTTCCGATCACCTCACTACACTGCACAAACTCGTTCGGTTTACCTGCCATTTTCATCCGCCACACACTTGCACCCCTCCAGGGCGCCGGAAAATCTGCCGTTCTCAACACCCTCATTGGCCATGCCGTTCTTGTAAGTCACGATACACCACAGTCGCTATAATTCCATTCAGTCGTGTCACACGTTCAGTTCAATTCAGTTCAGACTTGGTGGTTGTGGCATCTCACGGCAAAGGCACCCCACCAACCTCAGGTTGGCATGTTTGTTACTCGACTCAATGACATGTTTGTGCTGCCTGCGAGCCCCATTGCAGCCAACGGCTGAGGGTGGAGCCACACGCTTCCCTGTTCTGGTGGACCTACAACGGGACCCCAACCTGGGAGTAGGCAGCATCCGAGCGAGTCTCGGACCGCGAGCCAACATGCGGAAACCCTGTGAGTAGCAACACCTTGCTTTTCCTTCCTCTCCCACTTATCCTTTCCTGTTCAAGCTCCTTTTGTTTTTTGTTTTACGTGCTGTGTTTCTCTGCTTTCAGCAAGATAGACGCTCTTTTAGGCAGTTGACTCTGTACAACTCTCCTGCCGTCCATCTGTGTGTGTGTCACCATTCGCACTGGCAGCAGCGTCGGGCGGAGCAACACCACAGGAAGACCACAGATCCTCGTCTGCAACTCCTGCTTTGTCAAGAAGAGTGAATTGTTCACCACCACCCTTCTGACTCTGGCCTTCTCCCTCGTCCACCTGTGCCTCGCTCTTTGTGTGTGTGTGTGTGTGTGTGTGTGTGTGTGTGTGCGTGTGTGCGTGTGTGTGTGTGCGTGTGTGTGTGTGTGTGTGTGCGTGTGTGTGTGCGTGCGCGCGCGCGTGTGCGTGCGTGTGTGCGTGTGTGTGCGTGCGCGCGCGCGTGCGTGCGTGCGTGCGCGCGCGTGCGTGCGTGTGTGCGCGTGTGTGTGTCACCACCACCAGCGGAGGTGCGGCAGGCGCTGGTAGCGGATATGGCACAGGCCAAGTCCAAGTCAAGGAATCGCCAAGAGGCGCACCTCATCCTACGCTCGCCAATTGGTCAGTCCCCCACCTGACGTCCCTTTTCTACACTGTCACCCTGATGGAGTCCTCCGTCGCTCTTTCTTCCCTTTGTTCGCCCATGAATCTGTCTTCTCTCTCTCCTTTGCTGGGCGTCTTTGTTCCCTTGACTCCCCTGTCCTCTCTCTTCCTTTCCTGAGTTATTTCTCCTGCAAGCTGGACTCTCTCAGGACTGCCTCTGCTCCCTTTTCACTCTGCATCTGCAGTTGTGTTTGCGCGCCTGTCATACCTGCCATTGCCCATAGTCTCTCCTCCTTAGTTTTGTCTGCTCATCGTTTTCTCTTTCCCTCTTCCCCTTCCCCCTGCAGCACCTCCAATCCGTGTGACGGATCTTCCCGGAGTCGAACGGTCGTCAGACCTTGATGGCACAGTGAGTGCCCTTTGTGCACTTCGGTTTCCAATTATTTTATTTTGTTTTCTGTTACAAAGGAGACGGAATAATGCTATTCTGTGCATGTGTGGGTTGGTGAGTCCCCTCGTCTCATCTTCCTTTCACTTCTCTTGCGGCCTCGTCTCATCGGCACACCACTGCTGTTTGCAGCGCTGGGATTGGGAGCTCTTTCTCCTCCCTTTCCTTTCTAATGACGTCATGTCATGGGTGTGCCAACATGGACCGGGGCTGCTGCTGCTGCTGCTGTTGCTGCAGCAGTGGTTCCCTTGGGTGGGCTGAATTCATTGGCAGCAGCACCCGTCCTGAAGATGATCATTACGATCAAGTCAGTCGGTGCACCTGTGGCTGCTGATGCCAGACTCCCACCCACACTGCTGCAGTTGTTCCCGTGGTTGGGCTGAAACACAGGGCCTTCCACGCCACGTCGTATCATCCGTCATGCTTCCTTCTCAAACCCCTTCATGTTTCCTTCCCCCGTCCCTCCATGCGCATGGGCGTTTCTCCCACTTTGCCTCCACTCCAGCTGCAAGACAACGTGTCCAACCAGGAGGCCATCATCCTCGTGGTCATCTCTGCCACGCGCGTCAAGGACTCGCTCAAGCTGCTGCGCTTAGCGCATGACATCGACCGCGATGGTACGCTTGTTTTATAGCATGATCATTCTCATGGTAAGTGTGATCTAGCATGGTGAATCTGCTCCTGCTGCTGCTGCTCCTCCTCGTGGTCATCTCTGCCACGCGCGTCAAGGATTCGCTCAAGCTGTTGCGCCTAGCACTTGACATTGACCGCGATGGTAAGTCTGTTTATTGCGTGGTCAGCTGCTTGCTTGCCATCATTGCTGCCACGCGTGTCAAGGACTCCCTCAAGCTGCTGCGCCTAGCACATGACATTGACCGCGATGGTAAGTCTGTTCAAGCTTGGTCTGCGCCTCCTTTTTTCTTCTCCCCCTCTCCTCATATCTTCTCCATCTCTGCTCCCCACCCACCCACCCCTCTCTTTCCCTCCACCCATATAGTTATTTCCTTGCCTCCCGCCCAACCTTCCCCCTTTTCCCTCCCTCTTCCCCCCCAGGGGCGCGCAGCATAGGCGTGATAACGCAGTTTGAGCGGGTGGTATCAGACAAAGCAGCCGCCAAGCTCGCACTAGAGCTCCTCCAGGGGCAGGGCGCGGCCATGTCACAGGACTACCTGTGGGTGCCGGTGCTGGGGCAGCCCCTGGGGGACGCGGACACAAAAGCTTCCCTCCCACTTGCCTATTCTCCCTCGTTTCCCTCCCGTTTTCTCTCCTCGCACCCAACTCCACCCCACTGCCCCTACCCTCACCCCCCTCACCCCCCCAGGCGCGCGCAGCATAGGCGTGATAACGCAGTTTGAGCGGGTGGTATCAGACAAAGCTGCGGCCAAGCTCGCTCTAGAGTTATTACAAGGGCAGGGCGCGGCCATGGCACAGGACTACCCGTGGGTGCCGGTGCTGGGGCAGCCACTGGGGGACGCGGACACAGATGCTCCCATGGACGAGGCGTGGCAGGGCGAGCAGAAGGCCCTG